GGTAAGGTTGACCGTCTTCGTAATGTTCATCTCCTCCCTGAGTTGAGTCTATTATCTTAACCTGACTTGTGGTAAGACATATAGTACATACACCGACACAGTTGATACCTCATGAGAATGCTGATCAGAAGTATTGATTTGCATTTCCAGATAGCGCGCAATTTTGCTTTCGGTTCTCTTCTTTGTTCGTCGTTTTGAGCAAAGTCCCGTGTTCTTTATAGTCTTCACATTTCCAGTTGACAAGCTGGCTGCATACTGAGATTACTTTGACACTGACTGGCGCTTGACCGTGTACATCTACATTTGGTTAATCCAGTCTTCCTGTGAAATCTGAAATTTATTGATATTTATTTGTCGTTTTTTTTTTTATTTTTGTATAACAAAAACCCATGACATATTATATGTTCAATACTGATAATTTGTTATTTGTAAATGACTAAATAACTAATATTTCATTTATAGTCAAACCACTCTCTTCTGTGTTATTTTACTCAAGTTTTAATATTTATGGAAAGGGTTGAAGATTTTGGCATTTTAAACCAGAAAGGGATAAACATCCAAAATAAAATATTTCACTTTTTAAGGGAAAACCAAAAGGAAAACGCTGGTACAGGTACCCGTGACAACAGTGATGAGAGTCAAAGAAAATTAGCCTAATACTTTGGTAGATGTATGTTGAATGAAAATGATAGACTTCTAAATTGCTACTGTGAAGGTACAAACCCCCTATTTACACATACATTAAATGCAAATGTTAACATTTATCCCATCGCATTCTCTGCGTAAATAATCCATATGCAAACAAGCAGGCGATGTCAAACATGACTCAAACGGGGACTCGACGCTGTATGTCTTTGCTACACATATGTTATGTTTATGTTTAGTATGGGGGGGGGGCATTACCATCTTCCAAAACCACAATCCACACCTTCCAAAATGTTCACTTGCTATTAACCAGATATGTGTTTGAGGCTAATTAATGTCACAATTCTCTACTTTGGAAAGGGTTGAAGATTTTGGTATTTTAAACCAGAAAGGGAAAAACATCCAAAATAAATTTTGGAACAGAATATCATCATTCATTTGACTTCCAGTATGGAGAAGCTTGTCATTCAAGACACACAAATACCGCCGGGAAGTAGTGGAGGAGGTGCGGCAAAATATGTTTTTGCGGTGGACAACGGTTGACAACCGTGGTTGCACGTGACTTAATATATTCTAATCGTTTATTTTATTAAGTATTCAGCATTTGGCTTATTATGTGTGAACGGGGTTCCCTGACAGCCTAAGGTCCAGTGATTTGAAATAACTAGTGGTCTTGTATTATTATACATCCATCTGCGAAGCGAATGATTCGCATAGTGAAATTCTTTACAGTATTACATGTCTACAAGTATAAAAGAGCAGCGCCTTAATAGATGTAATACCAACGTCACACTACATGTATACTTACTTCTATGAAATGTACCAGGATTCATGAATGCTGTGCCCGAGGTCGGTCGTCTACCAGCCAGCCATACGCCAGGTAAGATTATTCTGAGATTTGTATTCAAATTAGATCAAGATACAGATACATGTATTCCAAGGTTTACGTCAGTGGTCGGGTGTTTTGACTTCTTCAGTCTTTTTGTATCGACCCGCCACAAATCTTACAATTCTAGGCGAAAATCGGGGGATAATCAGTGTCATTACAAGAAAACAGGAGAAATCTCGCTGCCTACTTTGGTCACATTGACCTCTCACTCAAGCGTCCAATATCCACTTTCTCCGGCGCAGCTACAGAGCGACTAAGATCTTAATTACACCACATGATAGTTTGCTAGCCACAAGCGTCTATGTTCAGTGACAATAAATCACGCGTGAGCACGAAGAGGTGCAGCGGAGTCCCTTACACGGGTCTCCAACCACAGACAAGATAATAACGTTTAATACATTATGTGGTACAGTCCGTGTCACGTACATGAGAGTCCCCTGTGATACAAAATATGGTGTCACGTACAACAGTCCCTTGCGATACAAAACCCGATGTCATTTACTACAGAGTTCCTATGATACAGAACCTGGCGTCACGTACAAGGAAGTCCCCTGCGATACATGATCCTGTTCACATTGATTTGTACAACTAAGCCTTGTCCTAGTTTTCAGATAGTTTAACCCACTTACGACTACAACCTGTACGGATCTAATGGAGGATGCGTTCTCTACTACATGGACAATCATTTTTTTTTTCTTTTTTGTTTTTTTCACTTAAATATAGTGTAGTACACATTGGGCGGATACAGTGCCTGGGTATTCCCTGGTACATAGAGGTGCAATCAATTTCTTGGGTCTGATTGATATTTATTCAAGGTAGATTGGATTTTTTTTTCAAAAATATTCCTGTTTTAGGCTTCAGCTTTTTCGTCTCTTTTATCTTATCTTATTTCATTCTGGATAAGTCATTTAATAATAATTTTCTGATTAATTATTAAATGAATTTATTTGGTAATACAAACAAGTCATCTCTTGATCACAAATCCATATCAAGGATCACATCCACACAATTGAATAGTAAAATGAGTTAAAATCATAAGATATAGGTGCACATATTTGTTGTGTTGTTGTTATTTTTTAAAATCGCAAGTTTTCGATGGCCGTCATTTTTTATTGCCCACAGTTTTTCGATTAATCAGTGAGTAACGCAATATATGTATCATGCTGGCATATACAGCAGTGCATCAGCCCCGTGCACTCTGCCTAGTAAGTTTTCAAAACATCTATAATGGCCACCGCAATTACTAGGATAAACGGCGAGAAATCCACTGCTATCACTATAACGATTGCTAGATATCTTACTGCTGGGTATGACACGCTGTACGGAATTATCCAAGCAAACACTATGTTGATGACAATTACGCCCAATATCAGAGCAATCCGCGAAATAAAAGACCAGTTCACCCTTGACCTTGACGTAAGCCTTCCTCGATGCAGTGACATCTCGACGTCACCGGTGCTTGCTGAGAATTCCATTGCTTTTGTTTTGGTTTGGTGAGTGACGTCAGTGAGTAGATGACGTTTTACATTGTGATGTCACAGTTCAATGCTCCGCTGCCACTCGAATGGTTCTACAAAATACAACAGAGGACAAAATACAACAGAGTTTTATTTACTCCTTGACAGAGAGTTTAATTGTAGATCACTAATCGTTATTGGTTTGTAGAAGACTGATCGAAAATGTAGACGCTATGATTACAATTAATTAAGCATTTAATTAATTAATTAATTTTAATTTATTCAAACTTTTTTTATCCGGAAGTTTATATATTTAACGACGTCGCCAAAGAACTCCCCCCCTCCAAATATCTTTTCAAAGACAACATTAAAAATCGTGAAGATATCTTCCTTTATGCACCTGCTTCAACAAACTCAAATCTTAACAAGGTGAAATGCAAATTATGAGCTGAGTAATGATTTATGTATGAATAAATACTGGATAGCTTCCTAGTCACACGTTAAACTGTGAGGTTATTTAGAGCATGGTACATTAAAATGCGTCTCTACTTGATAATATGACATGTTAAATAGGCACAGGGAGTTTTGCACAAAAATGTTAACTTTCCTCATAAGTTTACCTCTTTCTCACGAGTGAATAATCCACCTACATTAGTTCTAGAAGCAGCCTAAGCCATTCAGACCTCCTTTAGTTTTCCTGCTATTACAAAAGGAAATATCGACTACGTGTTTTTATTTGAGAGAATTTACCGTTTTTCAAGGTTTAAATTGGTAAAAATAAGCACAGTGAAACTTTAGAGGACATTCAAATAAAAATGTGACATTCAGACAGTTTCAAATGCGCATAAGACACTTTTAATACGAATACACGAAAAAACGTCCTACACTCCCTTCCTGGACAGTTCCTTTCTTCTTGCACTTTACTTTTTTCGTTTTTTTTTTTTTTTTTTTTTTTTTTTTTTTTTTTTTTTTTTTTTTTTTTTTTTTTTTGTGCCGGGATAACCTTATCGAATTCCTTTGCGTCCTTGCTAGCTTGTCATACTACCGCAAAATATGTTGTTTTGAACACAACACATACACGACCCAGACCGAGGAACAGAGAGAGAGAGAGAGAGAGAAAGAGAGAGAGAGAGAGAGCCTGTGGGAGCGAATGTGGTTATTAAAGAAATGTACACATACTTCTGTTCATGATAACTGAACCTACATTTGTTACCAAGTGCCCGTGCCCTCGAAAAGGTTATCTCATGTAAATCCTCCGTAGTACGACCTTCAGCGCGTCCCCTGTCAACTATCACTTCTTAATGCATGGATCTGTACTTAAAAAACTGCTGGGCACGTATGCCGGTACTCTATGGTGCACGTGTTTTGAAATAAGGAATACTTGGTACTCTATGGTCAAGTGGAAGCAGTTATCCTTTATAATCCCAATAGTTTCAATTTGGATTTATGTACAGAGAGGAAAATCGCAAAGAAAGACGGAAGGTACATGTAATTTAGGGGCTAGTACGTGAATAGGTAACCATATAATCGCAGAGCTGCCACATAAGAAAGGGTACAACGTGATTTTTACATGACAAAAAAAAAAAAAAAAAAAAAAAAAAAAAAAAAAAATCCGGATCCGTCGGAATTCGAAAAAGGCAAAGACTACTCACCTACAATTTATCATAATAATAATAATAATAATAATAAATAAATAAATAAATAAATAAATACATAAATAAATAAATAAATAAAAATAATGTTGCAAACAATTTTTCGTTAGTGCGTAGACTCTTACGCAATGATAATCAAATGCGCAATAATTTATTTACGTAACCAGTATAACCCTGACTATAACCTAGTTTGATATAGCCACGGGTTATGGGGTCTCCCTATCGGTCACATATTTACAGGGGTCATAAAGAACCTTAGTTATAGCGAGTACAGTCGCTGAAAAGATACGCTCGGTTAACATCTAGTTCATCGAGGGGCGGTGTATGGACTGTATACCCACGTATCTCTCTAGCAATATGATGCCGTACCCATTGTATGTAGTAGTATGGGTGGCACTGCTGCACGGGAGAAGCGCCTGCCTCGGTGCTAAGATATTCATGTTGCCGTACACGCAGGTGTTCAACTCCCGGACGCTGAACATGGAGAAAATCGCCCGTCTTCTCACTGACCGCGGTCACTCGGTCACAATGATGGTGGCTGACCACTACAAACCACGGACAAACATCGACGGCGTGTCGCTGGTCAGATTTGAGACACCCAAGCTGGAGGTGAACAAAGCGGGGGAGCTGGCCTTGGATACGACCATGAGCTCTGTTTACGAGGGTCTCGAGAAGATGATGGCGGCAATGGACGAGATGGAAGAAGCTTTCTGCCATTTTTTATTAAGAAACGAAACCAGGTTGCAAGAATTGAAAGCGACCAATTTTTCGTTGTTTCTCTTTGACTTGGTCAATTTGGGATCTGGTCCCGTACTAAACGACTTTTTAGAAATCCCGTCCATAGCATACTCCAATTTAGGATTCTGGGACCCGTGGCACGTGTTTCGCCAGCCGGTGTTTAAGTCCTTCACACCGGCCATTCCCGGGGGCTACTCCGACCACATGACGTTTTGGGAAAGACTCCACAATGTCGACATAGAAAACGAAGTCAATGATTGGTTAGACAAGAAAATAGAGCGCACGGATGCCATGGTGTTGGAGTATTTTCCAAAGAAACCTTGGCCCCCTATGAAGAGAGCATTTGAAAGAGTTTCTCTGATGATTGCCGCCAATGTCGACTTCGCTCTGGATTATCCCAGACCCGTGATGCCTCACGTTAAACCAATCTCTGGACTTCTTTGGACACCACCCAAACCTCTGCCGAAGTTTTACCAAGACTTAATGGCGTCTGGGCGTCATGGCGTTGTCGTGATGAGTTTCGGTACCTTAGTAGCAGAACTGACCGAGGGGATGGCGGAGGGCATCGCAAAAGTGTTCGCCAGACTACCTCAAACTGTCATCTGGAGATACAAGGGACCTGTTCCGAAGTCTCTTGGGAAAAACACGCACTTGGTCGATTGGTTTCCACAAAACGACATTCTTTCACACCCTGCCACGAAACTCTTCATCACCCACTGTGGGATCAGTAGCACGTGGGAAACTCTGTACCACGCCGTCCCCGTTGTGGCTGTCCCGTTAATTTGGGATCAGCATCAGAACGCCAGAAAACTCACAGACAGGTGCAACATTGGAGTATCCCTCAGCTTTTTAACATTCACTGAGGCAGACTTCGAGAGCGCCATACAAACAGTTCTTAACAACAGGACATACAAGGACAACGCCGTTAAAATGTCCGAGCTTTTAAAGGACCAACCCATGTCGGGGCAAGACCAATTGCTGTTTTGGATAAACTATGTTATACGTCACAATGGGACTCTTCATTTTCACTCCCAAGCTTCCTACAATCTTAACTGGTGCCAGTACTTCTTAGTTGACATTATTGCCTACAAGATAGCAGTTAAATGTTTACACTACATCTTTGTGTTAGTTTGTGCTATTATGTTTTGGAAATTGCTAAAATACACATGGTTTTTATATTCTAAACAGAAGAAAAAAACAGTCTGACATAAATACTGCATATATTTTATTCCACGAATTTAATTCGTTTGATGGCACATACAAAAATATACACTTTCCCAAAAATAGCATAGCAAATTTAGCTCATTGGCTTAACTGAATATATATATATTATATATATATCAAAGAACATCAATTTGTTTTAACAAGTAGAAAATTTATTGGCATATGCCGAACTATTCTATCATGACAATTAATCCAAAATTTAAACTAATTTGCATCTTTTGATAATCCATATAAAGGCATTCTCTCTCAAACATATCTTGAACCAGCCCAAGTCAAAGGCACACAATAACATTTATAGTTTTTTACAAAAAATAAATCTGATGCATAATTATGTAAATGCCACTCAATTTCAGTCATTTAAATCTGACAATCTCTGGCAAAAATGATCAATTATATTGGTTTTTTATTGAAATTGTATTATTTTGTTTCTTCTTTTTTGCTGTCAAATACTGGATAAATCACTTATGCACTTCTTTGAAAACTAGTCAACTTCCTAATCAGCATGGAGAGCCATGGCACGTTCCGTCAAACGATCTGTCATTGGTGCATTTTCTTTCAGACATTTTCTCTCTGCCAACAGACACCTTAAAAGAAGTGACATCTCAAGGAAATAAGACATCAAAAAATTTACAGTGAGGATGCCAGTTACACATCAGGGTGATCAGAATTTTACATCTAATTAAGAGATAAGAGATCTTTGTAAAAATGTTGGGAGGCCCAAATTTACCTTTGAATTATTGAATTATGAATACATGTACTTGTCACTTTTTCATCATACAATTATACATGGACCATATTTGTAATATTTTCCTTTTACAATATTTTTAACTTCTCTAAATTTAGGTAACATAAGTTAAACAGTTGAGTGTTTTCTCTCTCACTCCCCCCTCCTCCTCCTCTCTCTCTTGAAATGTCTGTGGAGATACTCCAGTAACAGCATGTTTCATATCCCTTTCTTACCTTGCCAACTTATGGTGCATCTTGTCCTCTGACTTCAGTGCTGCATTGATCAGGAATAGATTGAAAACATCTCTCTGGAAGATAACAAAGGTCATGGGGTCAAAGAGAGGTCACAGGTCAAGAAAGGTGAAAGGTCAATTGTTGCTTGTTAAAGGTTTTTAAAGCATGCTAAAAAACTGACTTATAACCAACATTTCTTTTTAAATGTGCATTCACATTCATAATATGTAATTATATTTCATTTTGTCATGCTTACTTTGTAATGCTAGTTGTCAATCTTATTGTCTTTTAAGGTACTATTTATCATATAGAATGTTAAAGGAATATGCCATGTATTAGAGTTTTTATCAATATTTAAAGAGATGCACAGATGCATTCATCTGAAGGTGGAGACTGTGCATAAATGACTTATACAACAATTGCACTGGAAACATTACTATTTCCATATTGTTATTTTTTATAGTTATTTTTACTAATAATTTTTGTGCTCTCAGAGAACTTTTATAGTTGTTATTACTATCCTTCTCACCTGTGCATTGCTTCCCCCTATGCTAAGAACTTTGTACCTCAGCGGGTTTAGAAGGTTCACGGCCCGAGCAAAATCTCCAGAATCATAAGCTTCAAATGCTTCACAAAGTGGCAGACCTACCTCAGCCGTAACATCTCTGTTGGTGCCTTTACCATTTCTGAAAATATAATAGATTCAATATTTATCTTCAACCAAGTCAAACAAAGATGACGCAAGTCTTGGTCTTATACATTTATCCTTTTATCTATTCATTTATTTACTTATTTTATCTTTTTTTTTACTGCAAATTTTGGTAATTTGAAGCCACTGGGTGCAATCTGCATTTCTGTAAATATATTTTAATTTCATCAATATTTCAACCAAATCAGATACTGGCAAAGAAATTTTGTTCTTGGACCTGATAATTATTAATTTGAAATTAATTCTAGTATTTATCTATCTTTTCAATACTTTCCATTTCTTTTTACAGATGATTTATATAATTTTAGTTACTTTAAAAAATTGAATAAATGATATGACCAACTCTGGTATATTCAGACAGGCCTTGCTTTAAAAAGTCCTTCAAGCCGGAGAAATTTGAAACATCCAAAATCTCCTGTAACTTAGAACAAACTGAAACACAAAATTAACTGGAACTTATTTGAAATCATATGAAATGACAGAAACTTCTTTTCTATAAAATCTTATTTTTATATCTTATTTTTATTTTGTAAATGATTTTGGTAGAGTAAATTCTATCCAATGAAGGAAAATTATTTGATTAAAAAGTTCTGGCCATGGATCCAAGGTCTTACTTAACAAACTCTCTGATTGATTCCATCATCTCCTTGGCAACATCTTTCTTCTTGGCGCCTAGACAGGACATGAGAATGTGGACGTCATTAAACGCCAGGATGTGATCATCCGTGTGTGGACGACAAGTTTCAAACACATCGTTCCATCTATCACCAACATTCACTCCTAGAGAAAATAATCCAAAATCAATACAAATAAAATGGACACATGATAATATAAATTATAACGAGCAAATTTGCTTGGTGTTCTCCAAGTAGTGCAGTCTGTTTTAATTGTGCCTGATGATCTTGTTTTACTGCTTAAGGTGATCCCATCTTATACCTTACAAATGTGCACAATTAAAACATTGCTGCTATAAATAAGAACAAAAATTGATGAGTATATGATGTAATAATAAAGGACTATGTGTAAGCAGTACTTGACAGCTTGGAGTGTACGTTAAGTAACACCTCCCCATTACTTGGCCTTACTATATTTAATGTATACTGCATATTAAGACATCCTGCTGTACTGTGTGTTAGCAGTACCCCACAGCCTGAAATGTGCATTAAGTTACACTTACCTTCCAGTTCCAGGCGATATAACAGGGAGCAGGCATCCACAATGTCCAACATGGCTCCAGATTTCTTACATCTCTCTCCCACCTCTGAGTCAAATATGTCCACAGCACCTGTATGTTCACCCTTGTAATATTAACAATAATAATAATAATGATAACTTTTTTGCAACAAAAACTGCATGTAACAGTTGCATGACTAAAAGCTGTTTTCATTCTAAAAATTGAAAGAAATACACCTAAAATAATAAACATATTATTTTTCTCAATCACTTTCCTGATTTTTTCATCACTGTGAGATCCTTCTTCACTGCATTATATTTCTTATCAGATTAACTTTGACAATAATATTCAAACAAAACCATATCACTGACACTGTGACAGTGTGATTATTGTACAGGCTATGGATACCTTTTCAATGTGATAGACAGCCCAGTGCCAGAAATTATGGCAGGCCAACATTCCACAGGTCTGAAAATAAATAAATAAATAAAATTAATATAAAGAAACGATACATATTAGTTAAAGGAATAATAACTTTTCATATGGAATCTGCATTTCACAATAAAAAACATTGTAAACAACTCATAAAAAATATAATATAATTACTGTTTTACAACAAAAATGGCAGTTATAGTTATTATTCTGATATCTGAGACTGTCATCAGACCACGTGATCTCTGCAGATTAAAACATAAAACCAAACAAAAACAGGGATTAACTTTGAATGCAGAAACGGATTCGATAACCATTGGTAAGTATGAGAAAATTGTTGTTTACTCTGGGAAAATTCATTTTTTGGCCGAAACGAACAGTTATTATCCCTATATATATGTATAATTGACAGACAAATGATATCTTGTTTCCTATGATAAATAAATACATGTAGGGCCTGTTGGTGAAAAAACTGATCCTATTCTTACCAAAAAAGAAGGCTGTTCAGTCCCTCATATTTGTACTTTGTTGTAATCATAGATGTATACAATCATATTTGGAAGAAAAAACACTTAATTATAACTCCCTATCTTACCGTCCAGTCTCTCATAGTTGAACTGAGACAAAAAATATCTTTATCCCATCTCCCTTTCTTACCGTCCAGTCTCTAACAGTTGTACTAAGAAAAGAAATCCCTTCATCCTGTCTTCCCATCATTTCCAGCACGTGTGCCAGGGAGTGGGTGGACCAGGCATCCTTCGGGTTGATATCCAGTCCCTTCAAATAATGAAACAAGGAAGCAAAGCTGCTAAATGGTCTGATACATAGATGGCAAAACTTACAGAAGCTATGTGACGTTAAAACTGTCGACAATGATTAACACACGAATGCAGAATTATTTGACTTTTTCTGGTTGAGTATCTTCAAATAATGGCAAAGTACAGGGTTGATGTCTATAAATTGACACTACTTAGAACTACACATATATAATGTTATACTTATTAGGTACAAATAAACAAACAAACAAACCAACAAACAAACACAAAAAGATAAAGCCAGGACTTAAAGCAACATTTGCTTTTCATCAGCATTACACAGAATTGGTGAAAAACCTATTTCAGTGTAGGGATCCACATTCTGGTCAACAAATGAACTAGCACACAATGAGGGAAGCTTTAGAAGACAAAAATGGAAATTTATGAGAAAAAAAGGTAAATTCCACATTCCCTTTATTATTTTGGTGAATTTTGAATGGTAAAACTTTTTTTTCTCATAAACTATATCCTATCCACCATTTTGTGTCAAATAGTACTGGGCTATACAAGGCTCAGTCTTAAAGGTACATACGAACCGAGCATCGGTGGAGTGTGGATTCCCAGTAACACATGTAAACCATTTCTACTAGATTCTTATATGACTCAAATAAATTCCACATGCCAAGGGAAAAACTGAATAGATCACTCCAACAACCATAAAAGACCTTTAGACTGCTCCTTTCTTTAAATTTATGGTTGTAAATTTAACCTACTTCCGTGACCTACTTTCCTGCCCCATTGACATACAACTTAAAATGCCAGCAGAAAAATCTGTTCAAACATCATTTTCGGGTAAAATTATACAATGCCTTTTGGTAATTCTCTTAGTTATACTACTTGAAACGATATGCTGGCATTTGGTTGGTTTTTGTGACAAAAAATTGACTTTGTATGCATCTTTAATGTAAACAGGTCACCTTTATGTTTTATTATCTCAGTCTAGGCAAGTGGTTTGTTATTTTTAGCATCACAATTTTATAACATTTTTTTCACTGTTGTCATGTTTTTCCTTTTTTATGAATTATTGTTCCCATGTTTTTTTCACTTTTTATAATGTATCATTTTTTTTACTATTAATTGCAAGTCAACAATATATTCCCTTTTTTGGTGGTAAATAAAATCTCATCTCGAGTCATTTCATCTCATCTCATCTCATCTCCTCTTACCTTCCTGGACACCTTCTCTGCCTCTGAGAAAAGACTGGTTTCCACAAGGCCAAAGGAATGCATGCCAAACAGGTATCTAAAATAGTATTGGAATAACTGTGTTTATTAAGAAATTAGATTTATACCATGGAACAAGAGCCAGCAATTTTAAAGAGGGTTGGGGCCTTTTACAAAAAAAAAAAAAAAAAAAAAAAAAAAAAAAAAAAAAAAAAAAAAGAATGGAAAAGATAATAGAACCTAGATTTTTGATTCATAGGGTTTGTAATAAAACAATAATCTAAGTAGAGCACCTTCAACAAAACTGTCTTAGAGCAATGTCACTGTTACGATGTGTTATGTGACTGCATAGTTCATAATTTGTTCTCATATGATATTTATCGATTGGTGGATTCGTTTAGTGGATTCACTTTGTGTCTACATTAGGATGGAGAACCTTACTGCATTGAGCAGTAGGCTTTAGCAAATCAGCTGTGCTGGTACACTGTGAGGTTTTATGGTTTATAAGGTGTATGAAAGGTTTTATAAGAAATCCATGGATTGCAATAACAAGCATTTGCTAATAGGGGATTTTCAAACCCATGGAGTGTACCTTTAACTAAACAGCATGAAAGAAGTAAACTTGTGGAGAGTAGAAAAGGGTGTGTACAAACCCACTGTGGTGTGGATACCTGTGGGAGCCTCCCAAAGTGTACCTGTACAGCTCTTACCCTAAACCATACCATTTCTAATGTGAAGAGAGCCAAACACATACCCATACAAAGGCATGGTGGGTTTCCAGTACGGTAATACCCTGGCTATGGAATCTCTCATATGGGGCTGATAGCCCAGATAGAAGTAGCTATCGTGGGCAAATTTCAGTGCCAACATATCTGTAGGGTGCGCCACCAAGATGTCTTCCCATACATGACAGGCCCCGGTTGTGTCACTGAAATCATGGAAAAGGTATTATATAAATTACATGTTAAACATTTAGAAAGGTTTAGATGACTAAACATCAGGCACGATTTATGCCTTACTACCAACTAAAGGCACTTTGACATTGAAAGTCTCTGGTTTTTAAAAACAGAAAGACAAGTGTTAAGTCATCTTTATCAAAGGCACAATGGCTCTGTAACATAAACAATGCCCTAAATGACATATTGTATCTATATTAATTAAGCATATCACTTGACTTGAAAAGCGTACTGGGACAGTATTGATGTGAAGAGGGCATCTGTGGCTGTGTCAGATAATTTTAAAATAAAAAGAATCGACTCATTAAAGAATAAATTATCATGTAGGGGTAGGTCTTTATTTGACTACATCTTCATTAATTATTATCTAAACAGCAGGATAAAGTGTACCTATACAGACTGCCCTCCCATACAGACCCTTCCGTCATCACATTTTTGCACATGACCTCAAACGCCATCTAGTGTGGAGTCAAATTACTCAAACAGTACACTAGATGTCACCACTGAACTTCCCTGACCTTACCCCTCAGCCCACATTTGAATGGCTTTAGCATGCTGTCTCTCCCTCTCTGTGATATCCTGCTTTGCAGCCATATCAGTCATTGTATTGATGGCAGCCTTGAAATCTGGGTCAAGGTTGATGGTCCTCCCTGTGCCAATCAGGTCCAACCCATTAGTCAGGACTCGTCCCATGACTGAATAGAAAAATATGATTGTGAAGGATTACCAATGAAAACAAATAATCATGGATTCTCATCTGAAACTTTTTGGTATTAAGTTATAAGACGTTTTGCTTGTGGGAATATAATGATCATTTGGACAAGATCGCATGAAAAAATACCTGACTAGTACTGTATGGTATATTGCCCAATGCTCTAAAAATAAATATAAATTACTAGAAACATTTTTATACTAAATAAATATGAATAAGTAATGTTGTTGGTTGTGTGCATGGTGAAGTCTTGTACCAAAGTTAGGGTCAGCAGCAAGCATTGCTTTCATTGAAGTGGCTATTCCTCCTACACTTGCATCATCGTAGACACCAGTGTACTACAAATACACACATATTAAAAACAGTTGGTTTTATTCTTTAAATGTCAATTAATAATATAATCATAGTTTAAAAGCAGGAAAGGAGTGATAGATCCCCACAGATTAACTAACCCTAGAGATTTCAACAAAGTTCCTTCAATCACCAACTAACGATTCCCTTTTTTTTCAAAAAAAGATCACCAAACCATGAACTATATACCAGCTGGTTAGTTCCAAGTTTCTAATATTTAAGTCCTACTTTTACAGGAAAGGAGACTGGTGAGTTTCACTTACTATGATAAAACCAGAAATTTAGAATTTGAAACAAAAAGGGTTGTAAATTAAATAATATTTTTCCAACAGTTTTGACATTCAAAAGTTGAAATTTCTAGAATTTTTTTTGCTGTAATAATAATAATAGCCGCCCTAAAAGTACCTACCGAAATCAGGATCTGTTTCTGTCAATTTTTTAGCAGCGGTTTCGATCCCACCAACACCATCTTCATCATACCAACCAACATACTTCAATAAAATTTTTAAAGTTGACAAAATTTAATAAAATTGTTATAGATAACAGTTAATCAGTTTTTAATTTCATAATAAACATTTTTCCTAGGGTCATAGCAAACTTAAATTATAGACCACTTTAAATGCAACCAATGCTCATTGAAATCCATATAGTATGAAAATATGCATATGTATATCCCATCGAAAAATACCGAGAAAATTATCTCAAACTATTAAACAGTTTCCAAGATCTGAACTTTTTATAATATGTATAATCCAACAAGTGAAATTCACCAGTCTTTGTTTCCATTAATTATTAGAGTATACCTTAACCTAAAAACTTAACTCAAAACCTAAAAACGGTGAACTCAAAACAGTTATGAATGAAAAATGTCCTGATCAAATGTAATTTTTTCTATAAAAAGGTATATCACTTAATATTGTGTCTTTATCAACTTTCTAAAATTCATTTTACATTCCTTTCATTATGAAATAATTATGTGCATTTGTTTAAAAGAGAGAGAGAGAGAGAGAGAAAGAGAGATTACCTGAGTAAGAACAGCATCATAGAGTTTACAGGCCTCATTGCTGGTGGTGGAGAGAGGCAGGCCCTCCTGGTTCCAGGCCTACAAATCAACAAATAAATAAATAAATAAATAAATAAATAAATAAATAAATAAATAAATAAATAAATATGGGATAAAAAGCTTAAATTAAAGCATAAATAGTTTCATTATCAATAAAATAAATAAATAAATAAATAAATAAATAAATAAGAGAGAGAGAGAGAGATGAATCTTAATGTACTTGGGTAAAGTCAGAAAAACTTTGTGGTCCATTATGTTGTTCATGTTGCTTGGCTAGGGAACTTGCCAGACAAGTAAGCTGACTACTGTCTACATTGCTCCTTCGTTGTGGTGAGAAACCCTGCAGAAATAGATCCTGCTGGGCTGATAATTGTTAATCGAACACAGCTTTAGAGTATAAGGAGCCAAATAATAATAATTGATTCATCACAGTTTTTGGGGGTCCTACCTGACAATCTCGCCAGTGACAGTGCATATTCTCCTGTACCCTGGACACCCCTCTTTCAACCGTGGAGCCTGGTTGACCTAGATTCACTAAAAGATGACCTAGTTTTTGTAAGATCGCTTATAATATGCTTAAAACCTTGAGACAAAGTGAACATCTTGACCCAAAACGATATATTTAAACTTCTCAAATGACAGATACTGGCTATTATAGGCCATTTTTATTCATTTTTATGAAATGTGCATGAACTTTGATTTCATTGTTTTTAATGTTTTAGGTGGCTTCACCACATGTGTCGTACCTCTTCGTAGCTCGCCATTGTTTTTTGGTAGGAATGTATTGGATGTAAAATTTCTTGACCAATTTCAGTCGGGTTAGGAGTAAGTACGTGTTAGAGACCATACATGCTTTGTTTCGATACTTAGCCAGGTGATTATTTCCTTTTATGCTTTGGTGCAAATATCAAGAAACATGCAATCATGTAAATATTGTTTACACAAATGAATTGAATTGAACATTGTTTTTCTTGACATACAAAAAAACATTGTCAGTGTGTTGTACATGTACATATTGTGATGTAGTAGTAATGTTGATTGTTGCTCCTACAGCTGTGGTAAAATTATGTTAAAAATAGAAAACACGTGGTACAAATGTATGTGCATGTGTCAACAGGTTTCATTTCTTGATCATGTAAATGTTGCTGTCAGAATTTAGTGTTCAAAATAATAAATGTTTAAGACCAGTCACAAATAATTAAAGTACAAGTATTTGCTTTTATACAAGATTAACTATTTCTCGGGTTATTTATCAATCTCAACATATATAAGTGTATGACAGTTTATTTCAGCTCTTGTATATTAAATTTTCACCTCACAGCTAGTTCGTGCATTTTTCCAGACACCCTGTTACCACCATGCGACTTCTGACTTTATACAGAGGGGCGTGTCTCCTAAGGAACGCTACCACTCTCAGGGTGCAACCTCAACAGCGATACCTGTCACATGGTGAGGGATTGGTCTTGTCCTAAGAAATGCCCTCTGGTGGACATGTTCTATCTTTAAGTGCTATCAAATGGCTGTAACTTGGTTTCAGTTTCACTTTTGCTTTTATAACTTTGAGCCCATTTACTTAGAGAAGAGGGTTTTGTCTTTGTTGTTTTTATTATTATATCTGTTATAATGGTCACATTTAACTGTCATCTCTGACTAAAGCTTCACTTCAGTTACACTTGCACCTTTACTCAACAGCTACCCCACACTTAGAAAACTTTGGTTAAGAAAAACAATAATTAAATAAAAGAAATTACTAAATAGAAAAAAAAAAAAATGAAAAGTTGTATGGGGTTAACAATACTTATAAAGGGAGCACTTGCTTTGTGAAAAATATTATTATTAAGAAACAAATTCCTCTGTTCCAGGACTTCTCCAGTACTCTAGGGAGGTGTCACAAGCCTTGCAAAACGACATCCCAGTGGTGGCCTTGGAGAGCACGATCATAACACATGGAATACCATTCCCTCAGAATATACAGTAAGCACTATCGTAACACATGGGATACCATTTCCTCAGAATATACAGTAAGCACTATCATAACACATGGGATACCATTCCCTCAGAATATACAGTAAGCACTATC